GAACCAACTCTACGACACATCACCACCACCATCATAGCTTACAGGAAATTAACAGGATGGCACAAGGCAGGACTCCACGGAAAATGACACATGGATTGAGTGGAGTTAGTTAACTCCTTCGCCAAACAGGTCATAGTTTCCTAGTGTCTCAGCTTTACCATTTGTAAAACGGTACACATACCTGCATGATCTACTTCATGCGGCTATTTCAAATATTAAAAGACAAACATAATGTATAGATGCTCTAGAGAAGTATAAAGTAATACAAAAATACAAGATGTTTTTCTTGTGAGAGATGGATTTAAACAGTAACTATAACCACCATTGCAAATGTGGAAGTCTACACTCTTCTAATACGATGCCTACTGGGCTAGCCAGTCCATAAGGTTAAAGAGCAGCATTACATGAAGGCTCTCTGTGGTGCCTGGCACTATGAGAGTACAGATAGGAGAAACTTTCAATCTACCTTTATTATCCTTTTATGAAATGAATCAAAACAGAAGAGAGAAAGAAGCATGGAGCACGCCCGGCACTAAAATCAGATTTGTGTGTACTTACTACTCAGTTATGTCTACTAGGACATTTACTGAGATCCAAATAAAGCCAGATTTACATACAAACAAGCAATTTTATTCTATAAATACAAACATCACCATATTCAATAAGCTATGTTCTAACATGCTTCCTTGGTCTAAATTTTACAAGGCATTTTTTATTCTAAACTTTTGGAGTGAAAGGCAACAAACACTTCCTACATTTAGAAAGAAACCAGAAACTACCTTGAACTTCGGATGGGAATGGAACTCCATTTAAATAATGAAAAAACAAAGCGGAACACTTCAGGAAAGGCATGATGCCAGCTCTGACACTCCTCCACAGATGCCAGCCTGAGGGTATTTCTTTCAAGGCACTACAAGAGAGAAAAGGAAAGACTGTGAGATTTAATCAGAAAAGGTCATCTTAGCTAGAGCACAATGTGAAAACAGAGAGGTCTCCTACTTGGAACTGGTGGCCATCAGTGTTAAGTGGTGATACAGCCTCCAATACTGCTATGAAAAGTGACAGAAGTCATATGCCCACATTCAAAGAAAATTTACAAAATAAAAGCCCACAGACCATTCCAGTACCTATTGTTAACAGGCATACCATGTAGTCTGGTACACTATTTTCATTGTAATTTCATTTAAATGTAACTATAATAGATTAAATTTGAAACTAATATGTGCTCCAAAATCTCACAAACCATACTTTTAGTGGGTTTCTAATATTCTGGAATACATGAACCATGACCAAATTATTCCCTTGCAATCAAACACATGACTTCATTTTGCCTAGTCCTAGATATTGTTGTTGTTAAGTGCTGTCGAGTCGGTTCCGACTCATAGCGACCTATATAGGGTTTCTGAGGAGTGACTGATGAGCTTGAACCTCCAACCTTGTGATTCAAATCGACCTTATAATAATCCTAGATATTTATCTTAAAAATATCTGTCAATTTAATCAGCATTTAAAAATTCCTAATGAGACAATATATGTAAAAAAATAGCATTTTCCAAAGTAGGCTCCATGTTTCTATGAGTCTGTGCTAGATCCTCCAAACAAAAGAAGGATTCTGTGTTCAAATAAATCTGGGAAGCTCTGCATATTGTCTATCTCTCAGAGACTCCCAAAATATGTTAGTGTAGTAAAAATTGTGGGGTGTCCCATTAGTCATTTCTCCCACCTCCTTTTTACTTTGTAAATGTAGAAACACATAAATGATATTTGCCATTCTAGCTGTTTTTACGAGTGTAATTCAGTGACATTACAGTCAACATGTAAAACTCTCTCCCACTTTCCTTTAAAAATACATTCATAGCCAGCAATTTCCTTTGTTTAATGGCTCAAATCCTTTTTCATGTATCACCCAGTAGTATTTTGGGAAATGCCTGCCATGTAAAAATTATGTTCTCACCTTCCTGTGTACTGGCGAAGTGTTTTATACAAACCAAGAACCGCTAATTCTTCTTCACCAGTAGGATTTTCTTGATCCATGCCATTCTCTTCTGAGAAACAAGGAAATAATGGTACTCAGTATTTGCCTATCATGTTGTCAGAATGACTGCTGTCAAAATCATGTAAACACTCAACTCTAGTCATACACTAACATGTAATATGAACATACTCTCACAAAACACACAGAACTGTATGTAGTCCCTCAGCTGTGAGCACAGTACTGAGCTCCATCAGACCAGAGAGCCAGTGAACTCTGGGAGAGGAAGCCAATGTGCTTCAGAATGCCAACCAACTTGCTGGGAGTCAAAAAAAAAAAAAATCACCTAATATATTGTCTTAAAGTGTTTTAAAAACAGGAAAGTTGGATGCGAAAGATAATTTAATGATGAGCTCATGAGGACATTAACAAACAAATACGTTAGACAAAACTGACATGTAAAATTTAAAATTATAAGGGACTGAACTTAAAAAAAAAAAAAAAAAAGCAAACAAAACAAAACAGTATAGGAACAGCCACACTGCTAGGGGATTTTAATGGGAGAAAGAAACTTGCTTCAAAAACCTAATTATAATTCACATATTATTCTCATCCAAGCATCTTTTCCTCTAATATTCTTTTGTTTTTTTTGAGAACTGAGAAAACTCAAGTACTTCCCCTTCAAGATGCTGAGGAAAAAGAGTGTCACCTGTACAGGAGGTAAGTAAGATCTGGATGATGTGCGCCATGGTGACCAGATGGAAGATGTGAAGGTCTCCAGTGCCAAGGCTGATGCCTGAAAAATCCTGACACTGCAGCGCAGGGAAAGCGAGCAGCAAGCCCACCTAAACAACAAACAGACATCAGACAGACTGCCTTTCCCCACACAGCTACACAGGGTCCCCTTGGCTTACTGTCACCCCACTTTGCTTACCCCCTTCCCTTAGGAGATCTTGTCTCTATAGGGTACACATGTTAAGGAGCCCTGGTTAAAGAGCTGGGCTGCTAACTGAACCCACCAGCTGCTCCACATAGGAGAAAGATGTGGCAGTCTGCTCCCATAAATATTTCTAGCCTTGGAAGTCCTATGGGGCAGTTCTTCTCTTCCTTTAGGACCGTTGTAAGTTGGAATGGACTCAATGGCAGTGGGTTTGGCTTTTCTACACATTAGAGATCCCACTAGGACTGGTTAAAGAAAATTGTATGAGTTTAAGGTTCTTGAGAGACATTATCATTTCATCTATTCAGCAATTTCCAGATATACAGCTTATTGTTAATAATTAACAACAGCAAGGATGTAAGGGCTAAGGAGAATGTATGGGATAGCACTTAAGTACATACAACAAATGTTAGCTCTTTCCTTTAGTCTCCTGCTGCCCCTACGGCGGAGCTAGTGGTGGTGGCTTTAACAACAGTAATAAGAGAAACATTTATTAGGCACATATTGCTCTTCATTGCTTTACATGGATTATTCCACTGGGTTCTCACAGTCATATGAGGTAGGTTCTACCTACTTTACAGATCTGAGAGTTGGGTACAGATCTGAAGCCCAGGAGATTAAAGGGGCCATACTTGGGGTTGTGTGTGGTGGTACACTCTGAGCTCTGCACAAAGGGATGCAGTGGAGGCAGGGCTGAAATCCAGCCACCCAGTGCTTGCCCAGCTATGTGCCCAAGTACCTGACTGCATTCCTGAAACATTCAAAGGGGCTGGCTGTCACATGTGTGTGACCACAGAGATTCCTATATGCACAAAAGTACTGTATGGACCAGCAGTAGCCCTTATGTTGCTGGTATGATCTTTATGTCTTCTTAGCACATGGAGGTTAAGTAACTGATCTTATTAGGCACAAGGCAAAAAGAGGGAGGATTAGAATTTAAGTGCATTGCACACAGGTCTAGAGTTTCAACTAGGTTCACTGACATTTTCTTTTTGCACCTCCCTAGAAGTGGTTACAGTAATATCAAATGATAGCTCCTGTATGCCCCTACACAACTCATCAAGTTGCAAACTACTCACCAGTAAGTGAAACATGTCGATATCTAATATGCATGGAAGATCTCCATGGTTCTCATTAGGCACCAATGCTAAATGTTTAAAGAGAACTACATTAGTACATTTCATATGCCAATGTAAGTAATAAATGTTATTTTAAACTGCATACAGTGCATATGTTGTTGTGGCTGTAGACTCAGTTTAGACCCACAGCGACCATGTATATAGGGTTTCCAAGGAGTGGCTGGTAGGTTTGAACTGCTGACCTTACGGTTCAAACTGACCTTGTGGTTTAGCACATTATTTTTCAGGGCTACACCAGGATCCATAGTGCATATAAGCCAGTTTAAATATAATACAGTCCATATACTGCAGTTTCAATTTATCTTTTTGTAAGATATGCTGTTGTAAAGTGCCATTGAGTCGGTTTCTGACCCATAGCGACCCTGTACAGATAGGGTTTCCGAGGAGTAGCTGGTGAGTTTGAACCACACCGATCTTGTAGTTCAAACGACTTTGTAGTCTGGTGCATTAGCCCACAGAGCCATACCGGTACTCATGGTAAGATATAGTATAATAAAAACTGTGAAAGCTGGAACCTCTGTAAGGCAGAAACCTATCAGAGAAAGAAAATGCAAGTATTTTCCACTAAAAAGACTGGCAGAAAAGTGGTAAGACCACACCCTGTCACAGGTGAAAAATTTGCATGACCCAGAAAAACAGGGCTGTCACAGCTATCACACAGATTCTACTGTGAATTTATAACCTAGAGCTGTACATAAGACAAAGAGTATCTCAAAATAATTCTTCCATACTGGAGAGAAGCTGAATCACTAAAAAAAACAAATAAACAAATCATCATAACATATTTGGTAAATGTGGTAACACTTACTTACATGCAAAAAGTTTGCAAAAGTGTCGTTGTACTACCGAGAGGGATGCAACTGTCCAATGTGCTGCTGCAAATCTTGTCAGTGATCTAAGACAGTCATCCTGAAATAAAGAAGTTGACACAATTAACAAAGATGCCAGCATATGGAGTATCTCTGCTCTTTCAGGAATGCCAATTCAAAGCACAGCTATTCAAAGCAAAGGTATACAGCCAATGACATTTCTCTAGGTTGTAAGGATTGAATATATAGTATCTTAAGATGCCAGGTCTCTTAATTAATTAAGAAAGAGTAGGTTGTATGCTAAATTAACAGAGGCTATCTCCTTGTCATCATTCTGGATCTCCATGGAAAAGAAGGATATGATATGTACATCAAGACAGCTAACAACAGAGAATACTAAGAATTGGATGCAGTATTCTTTATATTTGTTTTAAAGAGGCGCTGCTCTAAAAGATGTCTAAAATGAAACTATGGGCTTTGGTGTCCATTACTATACAATTTAGGGATTGTGCACAAATTAGGGTCTCTGCAGTCGTTAAAACTTTTGAAGACGCTGCAGTAACAATGAGAAAACTTTCAATATAAAGTAAACAACACAGCAGGAACGAAATTACATGTAACACGAAATTTTAAGTATGGTATGTGGAAAAAGATTGGCGAGAAGATGATGAGTTTTTCTTCTCATTAATTCTGTATTTTCCAAATCTTCTGTAATGTTTGGTTCAATAAATATTGAGAAGACCTATTTATTGCATGTGGTGCTGTAGGATAAGCACTGGACTGCAAGGTTGGTTTGAACCACAAGGTTGGCGGTTCTAACTCCTCAGAAACCCTATACTAGGAGATTCAACGACACTTAGCAACAACAATTGTATGCCATGTCTTTGGTTTGACATTAAAATGAAAGTTCATTCTCTCTTTACCTGCTCGCAACCTCACAACACTAGGTGTGAAGAGGAGAAAGAAAGGAGAGGACAATTGAAGGAGGTGAGTATCACAAAGAAGGGAGACTAACTCACAGTATAATGAGCCTTGGTGGTGCAGCTATTTGGCCGCTAACCAACTGTTGAGGTTCAAAGCCACCCACCCAGTGGTTCCATAGAACAAAGATCCAGTAATTTGCTCCTGTAAAGATTACAGCCTAGAGACCTCTGCAGGGCAGTTCTACTCTGTCACATAGGGTTGCTAAGAGTTAAAAATGACTCGATAACATCTAAGAACAACAACAACATGCTTCTGAGAGGTTTCCCAGGGAAGAGAAAACTTGCAGAGAATCTTTTTTTTTTTTTTTTAAGTTTAATCTAGTTTGGACAGATTTTATTTACTATTATTTTTTAAACTTTTTACAGTGAACTGAGTGGAGGTTAACAGACAAGATCATCAGCTTTACATTCAACAAATTACATGCTTTGTTTCATCTCAATGATTACAATCTCCTCCCTGCAACAGTTTTCCTACTTCCTCCCTGTGCCTTCCCTTTTACTTGGAGAGCATCTTTAAGAGTAAGAGTTGACTTACTACTAGGAAGCGGAAATGAAATATGTAAAGGCTTGGGCATTTGGGAAGTAGCAGCTTTAGAAGAGTCCTTATAATGATGGGTTAGAGAAGGGTGAAATTCACGATAAAGATACTACAGTAATTTAGGAAACATGATGTGATTCATCGCAGCACACTATTCACAACAGCAAAATGACGGAGATAGCTTAAGTGCCTATCAATGGAAGAATGGATAAACTTTGGTACATACACAGTGGAATACTATGCAACCTTGAAGAATAACGATGAATGTGCAAAACACCTCATAACATGGATGAACCTGGAGGACATTATGCTGAGTGAAATTAGTCAATTACAAAAGGACAAATATTACAAGAGACAATTATTATAAAAGCTTAAGAAAAGGTTCCATACTGAAAGAAACATTCCTTAATGGTTACCAGGGGTGGGAAGAAGGGAAGAGTAATTCACTGGCTAGAGAGTAGACACATTAGCTCGGGTGATGGGAAGGGTGGGTACAAGAAGCAGGAGGGTGGCATATGAACAATGAAGATAGGCAGCTATGCATGAGCTAAATGGGAGAGAGGTAAATAGTGATTTATACACAACCTCGGAACAACATTATTCTGTGAACAGACACATGCATTGAGACACTGGAAAAGACATGCAGACCAACTCAAAACTGCTGGGAGAACAGAAAATTCTTATTGAAAGAAAGACCTGCAGAGAAAGTGTGGACAGTCTGGATGCTTGAATTTCAAGCAAACCGTTTGCTTTGGCAGCATCAAGGCAAGAAAATTTGTCATGAGCGAAAACTGCCTTCTAAGGCAGAAAGTTAAATGGAACCTGCAAGCAGTCTAGTATGCTTGCTGGTAACCACCTGGGTCTACGTGTAAGTGGATGTGGGGGAAATGCAGCAATGAAGACATGGGTTGAGTGAGTTTGGCCATGTTTCACTGACACCTGCTGACCTTGAGATGAGAGAGACAGGAGGAAGGTACGGTCAGTCTGAAGTTTAGGGAGGTATGTGTGAACTCCTAAGCTTGCAGCGAGTACCCATTTGACATAGTTTGGATGGCTAGCTGATCAGAACTCAACCAGATGAAGATCAAGATGCTTGATACTGTGAGCAAGTATGGCTACAATCTGATGAACTGGACTTTTGCTTATGAATGTAGTTGCTCAAAATTCCAACCAGAATGGAAGGATTCTTTTATCAAGGAAAAAGCTGGTTTCCTCAGTGTACTGGACTGATGTTGTTTAGTGTTGTCAAGTTGGTTCCAACTTATAGTGATCCTGGTAAAGGGTTTCTGAGGAGTGGCTGGTCAGTTTGAACCAGTGACCTTGTGGTTCAAACCAACCTTGTAATCCAGAGCATTAGATAGGGGCGGACAATTTAGACACTGATTATCAAAAATGGGGTGGGGGTGGGGGTATAAAGGCATGAAGTAGCTGTTTTCATGAGTGTGCTTAGTTTCAGAACCAGGAGGGTAAGTTGGAATCCCCACTGAATAGTTTTCCTCTTTTTCAGATGGATCTGGTGAAAGGGGATGGGGGAGGATAGTGACAGGATTTTATGATTCCATTGTGACAAACTGTTAGCAGTATTAATTGTGATTGTCACAACTGTAATTGTAGGAGATGTAAAACCAAAAGGGGGGAGTAGTTAATCTTTCATTTCAGGAATAGATTGTCGCAGAACCATCAATAAGGAAGAGCATTAGTGGAGTGTGAGATCCTACCTAGAAAAGTGGAGACAGCAGAGATAGCAGAGAGACAGAGCAGCTGCAGGCTATATGCCCATGGACTGAGTACAGCTGTATGTCTGTGGGCAAAAGTCTGGCTTGCAGAATGTGTCCTTTGGACTTTTAAATGAACATACATTTTTTTTTGTTTTGTATGTGCATATGCAATGCTTTTTGCTTTGTTCATTTGTGAAAGACAAGACATATATGGGGAGCGCCCTAGGGAGGAAATAGGATAACTGGTGTTGCAGGAAGGGGACTGTAATAATCACTGAGATGAAAAGCATGTAATTTGTTGACTGTACAGCTGATGATCTTGTCTGTAAACCTTCACTCAATTCACAATAAAAAGTTAAGTAAATAAAAAAGTCAACAACACTATCAAAAACAAACAAAATGATATGAGCTAAACCAATGAGGCAGAAGTAGAAATGGAAGGAATGGGACAAGTAAGGCAGAATTAGCTTAATTCTCTGTTTTCCGACAAGTCCAATGTTCAATAAACATAGAAAAGACCTAAGGTAGTGGATTATGAGCTGGGCTGCTAACCACAAGGTCAGTAGTTTGCATTTACCAGTTGCTCTGGGGGAGAAAGATGAGGCTTTCTGCTCTTGTAAAGTTTTACAGCTTTGGAACCCTATACAGGGTTGCTATGAGTCAGAACCAACTCGGTGATAACACCACCACCATCACAGGACACCTAGTGGTGACATTAATTAAGACAGCAACTATAGGAAGAGAAAGAATTTAATCTGGACTGTTGAATTTGAGGTGCCTGTAAGAGATCCAAGGAGCCTTAGTGGCACAGTGGTATAAGCACATGGCTGTTAATCGAAAGATTGGTAGGTTTCAAATCCACCAGCTGCTATATGGGAGTAAGATGTGTTAGTCTGTTTCCATAAAGATTTACAGCCTTGGAAATCCTATGGGACAGTTCTAGTTCTACTTTGTTCTATAGGATTGCTAAGAGTCAGAATCGACTTTATGGCAGTTGGTAGTGATATTGGATAGGAGGTCCAGGTGAAAAAAATAAAGCAGGCAATAAGATAATAGGCCTGGGACCAATGTAAAGGTCAGGGTCAGAGATACACCTGTGGGAATCACTTGGCTATAACTGAAATCAGAGGCCTAGATGGGGCTTGCCTGAGAAGAATATTAGATAATTGAGGGTTTTGGGCAAGACCTGAGGGCACTTAAAGCAAAGTTTATAGGAGACAGAATAGACTGAGGTAGAGCATTCAGAGAAAGAAAACTGGGGTGTCACATTAGTCAAGAGACAAATGAGTTTCAGAAGGAAGCAGCAGTTAACAGAATTAAAAAAGCAGAGACTTCAATTATGAAAAGGCCTGACGAATGCCCACCCACAGTGACAACCAGGAGATCATTTGCTGAGCTTGACAAGAGCAAGTCTGAAAAAGTGAAAAAAGGGTTAGAGGTTAAAGTCAAATTATAGGGAGTTGAAAAGTGAATAATTTGTAAGAACTTGCAGACAGAATACACATTATTCTCTAAAGTTGTGCTGTGTACAAAATCACACACACATATATACACTTGTGAACACTCTGGAAGGATGTGAAATGAAATAAAAAATTGCAGATGTTGTTATTCTTTTCTGCCACATGGATTATCTGTATAGCAAGATGAAATATGCTTGGTCCTTAAGAGGAGTAAATGCTAACTAAAGTAGTACAGAAGGAAGGTACCACCGAGGACAGGAGTAAGAGGAGGATAACTGAGCACACCACTCACAGGGGAAGACCCAGGATGGGTCCAAGATGGAGAGGGGAGGGATCCCAGATACCGGTGGAAGGTTAAACCCCTGCATGCTGGGGCTCCTGATCCTGTGATAGAGGAGGAAAAAGATAAATGGAAATGTGCCTAAGTCTGAAAGAGTGGGCAGTTAGGCAAACAGGGAGTTCACATTTAATGGCTATATACTTTTACAAAGTAAGTTTAAAAGAAGACTAGACTGCATTTCATAAAGGAGCTCTAGTGGGTTATGTGCTAGGCTGCTAACCTCAAAGTCAGCTGTTCAAATTCACTAGCCGCTCCTCAGAAGAAGGGTGAGTTTTAGCTTCTGTGAATATTTACAGCTTGAGAAATCTACACAGGGTCACTGTGAGTTGGAATCAACTTGATGGTATCAGGTGGGCTTTGCATTTTATCAGGTTAGCATGTCCTTGATATTAAAACTTGACAAGGACAGTCTAGGGAAGTAAGAGTTCAATCCCTCTTATAAATATGTTGTTGTGTTTTGACTTATAGTGACCCTGGATATGGTGTCTGAGAATGACTGGTGGGTTTGAACTGCTGTGGTTAGTAATCCAGAGCTTATCCTACAGCACCACACCAGGACCCCAAGACACAGAGTATTGGGTGAAAATGTCCTCTAGTGCCACAGGGCTTGATGAATATAAATGCAAAAATCCTACATAAAGTATTAGCAAATCAAATGGTAGTGGTGTGCCGTGAAGTCAGTTCTGACTCATAGTGACCCTGCATAGGGTTGCTGAGGCTATAAATCTTTATGGGAGCAGAAAGCCTGACCTTTCTCCCACGAACTGCTGGTAGATTTGAACTGCTGACCTCGAGGTTAGCAGCCCGACTTGTAACCACAATGTTACCAGAGCAAATTAATTACCAACCAAAAAATTAAACCCGTGATTTCAACTTATAGTGACAGAACCTACAGGACAGAGCAGAACTGTTCCTTAGGGTTACTGCGGCTGTACATTTTTATAGAAGCAGACTGCCTCATCTTTCTTTTGCTAAGCAGCTGGTAGGTTCAAACCACCAGCCACTCAGCAGCCCATTGCTTAACCCATGGTGCCACCAGGACTACTTAAACTCAAATATAGTGGATATATAAAAAGGATAATATACACTGTAATAATCAAATTAAGGTTATTCCAGGAATGCAAGGTCGAGCAAGCTAACAAAGGGAATCTATGTATACTGATTATACATTAACAAACAGCTACAGTTAACAACAACAACAACAACAACAACAAAAATAGAATGGAGAAGAATCAATAGTTTGACAAAAGGTAATCAAACGCATACAGACTCACGAAAGTGTTAAGAACTGCCTTAAAAAACATGAGACAAAAATCTTTTAAATATTCAACCTACTTATCAACTCTCATTCGCTGTAGGAAAAATCTCAGTGTGAATGGTCATTCTGCTGGTTTACTATTAAGACATAGTTCTCACATCAGGTCCTACTCACCGACATTCCAGTTCACTTAAGTCTGCAGGGGCCCAGGTAGCAGTATTTTTATACACCTCCCCAGAGGATTTTGATGACTGTAGGTGTTTGCAACAAACTCGTTGTTGAATAATCATATTTAACTGTATTTACTATACTGGTTTTCATTTATTGGTTAAGGCCTTACATCAGTGTAAGGCTGGTACCGGCGAAAATTCTTCTAAATATTAATTAATGCCTGGGGTCTACCTCAGATTTAGATTTATCTATGGTAGTGTCTGGATATTTTGTAAAGCTCCCCAGATGACTCTACATGAATACACTAAGATGATTTTACTATCAAAGATACTTTTATGAAGTTAAGCATTAGCTACACAGTAAAATTAGCAAGCCTTGTCTATACCTGGTATACTTCTTCCTCATTTTCCTCAGCGTTATTAGGTATATATACTATCTTGACATTAGTTTGTACTTTTGGGGTTACTTTAAAAGTTGGTTAAATGCAGTGGAGAGTGTGTTTTGTTCTATATTTCTAATTATACTATCAAGAATTTGAGATCACACACTCCCCACCCCTCAATTATTTCAAGCACTTAACGAAGTACTTTAGATGAAAACAGAGAAAATTAGACTTATCTACTTATCAGAAAAATAATCACAAAACATTAAACCACAAACATTACTTCTTTAATACCCTTAAAGAAAAGGGGTTTTACTATGAAAGGAGTGAAACTACCTGTTAACAACTGTTTCAGATTTTTAAGATGACAAAAAGGCAGAATCACCTCAATCCTACTCCACCCTTCCCATAGCTGATACATAAAGAACTTACCAGTCTGCAAGGCAAAGGACCAAACAATGGTTTATCTTCATCACTTAAAATTCTTTCTGTGGAAAGCACAATATTGTCAGGTTCCAGATATCTTTTAGTCATTTCACTGGTATTAACTTTGGATGAAAAGTGAAAATGAAAGCAAATTTCCTCAACTGAAGCTATAACCAGCCACCACCAAAATGAGTTCTGCTTCAAAGTTTTTACTCTTATTTATTTATATAATTTTTTCATATTATCGTTAACTATTTATGACTTAAAGAAAGCCAAATCTCGAAATCTCTTACCTATGCTTTGGATGGTATATGCACAACTGCCCCAGCACATTATGGATACACGGGGATCCTCTTCATTTGGATGGACCTTTAGTCCCACCTTGTAAGTAGCAGTTCCAAATGTTGTTAGCATTTCTTTTATGCTCTCAGAATAAGGGTTCCTAAAGTGAACATGTACAGGATTAGTTCAAAACAGGGTGTTTGCATCTATTAAATGGCTGAGTTTCTCAAAAGCTATTTGCTATGTTGAATTTAATCACTTACACATCGATAGATGATGCTACATGCAAGAGGGGATTTCAGATCTGCAAAGTAACCCTGCCTGACAAGCATTTTGCTACATTTGAGTTGGCAGGGGTGAGGCACTGAGTTGTTGTTGTTAAGTGCATCAAATCGGTTCTGACTCACAGTGACCCTGTATATATGGTTTGCAAGGTGCGGCTGGTGGATCTGAACCATCAACTTTGTGGTTAGCAGTCCAATGCTTATTCTACAGTGCCACACCTGGATGGACTCCGAAGCAGAGTATTAGGTGACAATCGACATACCAAACTGGGGAACCCATATATTCCTTCCCTAACCTGCTTTAAGTATATCAGCAACAAAAATCCACTGCACAGAGATTAATTTCTCCAGTGAAGAATCCTGAGGGAAAATCCACTCTTATATTAGGGGTTCTCAAGTAAGTAAAAGAAATTGCAGCCTGATCACTTTACTGTGGGTTCACAAGTTCTCAATTAGACTTGTTTGTGCCTTATTCCTCAATAGGCCCTTAAAGATCAAGAAACATTGAAGGAAAGAGGCAAACCAAAACAAATAGAAAACAGATACCTCAGGGAAAATAGAGACAATGTAGACAGCAGAAAACTTGCTGGTGTCAAGTGACATGGAGTTGGTTCCCACTCATAACAACCCTGTATAGGGTTTCTGAGGCTTTAAACCTTCGCAGGAGCAGAATACCTTTTCTCCCTTGGAGCAGCTGGCCAGACTCAAACTACAGACCTGTGGTTCTACATCCAGTGTTTATCATATGCAGCCACCATGCTCCCAGCAGGAAACTTAGAAGTCAGTAAAACAATGTCTTTACAATCTGATGAAAAGTTACTTCTAACAAACAATTCTTTGCCCAAACTATCAATCAAGCATATGGACAGAACAAACATATTTTCAGATATACAGGGTCTTAAACATTTTATCATCTAGGACACTGGACCCAGAAATCAAGAGGAGAGAGCATGGCAAAGGGCAGTCTCAGGAATGACAGCTGTACCCTGTCCTGACTAGCGTAGGCAGAAAGCTGTGGGATGGAAGGAGAGGTTTCAGCATTTAGAACAACGATGGGAAGGCAGCTGACAGATCTATTGAAACACTAAAAAAAACCCAACAGTACAAATATATACATAGAAAACTAAGTTAATGAACAAACAAACAAGGTCATTATTAACCACAGGAAAGATAAACGTATACACAGAAGAAAATATTATAATACATAAATAACCCTTAAGGTTGGTGGTTCAAACCTAATGACTGTTACTCAGAAACCCTATACAGGGCCACTATGAGTCAGAATTGACTCGGTGGTACTTAACAACAAATTAATAGAAAGCACAGTTATTACAACGTAAAACACTGAAAACTGATTTAACCTCAAAGGATGAAGTAGTCTAATGGGAAATTGGTAAGAAGTGGTTAGGGTAGAGGTAAATTACAATGCAACAGAAAGATGCTGTACAACAATTTTAAATCAGGAAGACAACAGACTGAGGTTGTTCATTAGAAATATGGAAAAAAACATAAGAAAAAACAAACAAAATGATAGGACTGGGAATGCGGGGGATTGGGATGCAGAGGATTAATGTTTCCTTTTTCTATTTAAACCTATCAGGACTAGCTTTTATAGAGAATGTGCTAGACAGTTTCTAGGTGGCTTTACATGTATTAAGTCACTTTGCCCTCGTTAAGTAGCTTTATTTTTCTCACTTTACTGACGAGGACACTGAGGTACAGAGAGGCCAAGCAATTTGCTGGGCAGTGAATTGAGCAATCTAGCTCCTGAATCTATGCTACACTCTTCTAACTAATTGGCTAGGTGGGGAAATGGTGTTACAAATACTCTGGTTTTGGTACTGGATTAGTAAGAGGACAGTGAGGCCCTCAACAGAAATACACAAGTTATAAGAAGCACAGGACTTGGTAAGGAGATAAACAGTTGGGTTTAGGTGTATTAAAGAGATATTACCAAAGAGAATCAAACAAACGGGTAGAACAGGGAGCCAGTAATCCAGACTCAAATATTTATAATGCTTCCCGCAATGCTAAAGCCTCAGATTTCAAGATCAGTGTCCGGTAACATTTTGCTCCTTGGCTTGACTAATCTAATCTTATTCTGATTAACCACTGACTTTATTTTTCATTTCAAGTGAACCAACATCAAAAGGAATAAAATAATACACTCACTTAGGATGAAAATCAGGTCTAAATCCTTCAGGGAGCTGTAATTTACCCATATTTTCTGAATTCTTTGAAGAGTCAGGAGCTACAGAAACAGGCACGATATACCATTATTCAACAAACCATAGTATTCCTATTAATCTTAGTCATGAATGTCAAAGAAATGTAAAAAAACCAAACAAATAGTAAGAATTAACATTCTCATGAATAAAACGGACATAATGTTCTTAGGATTGCTCTGGTTGGCCAAGGCACCCTTCTTAGTCACCTGAGCTTATCCTAATAAAATATAGGTACCAGAGCATACCTGGGAAAATAAAGAAACAGAAGAGTATATGAATTTGATTCTGTAATAACCAGTGATATAAAAGTTTGCTTGGACTGTTTTCCTACAAGGTTAAGAGTGCAGTGCACGGTCTGTGCCGTTTTGAGAAGTGTTTGGAAAAGCCACCAATGAGGTGAGTGAGCATATTGAGAATGAAAGCTAGTCCTTCAATACTCAGCTACAACTTCCCCACCCTCAGAAGCTCTTCAATAAAGTGGGGCAATAAATGAGCATTTACTATACATTTTGCATGAACTTGTGTATTTTTAAGGTATGAGGAGTAATGCAGGAAGTAAAATTTAGCTCATTAAAACAAAGATAATTTGAATCAAATTTTTTTTTTTTTTTCCCTGCTTGGTATTGATATTTGTACTTGCTTTATTTATTTATTTAATTAAATGTTTTTATTTTGCATTGAGTGAAAGTTTACAGGGCACATCATCAGCTTCACATTCGACCATTCATATAGCTTGTTTCATTACATTGATTATTATCCCCGCCATATATCATCAGTTTACAGTGTTTCTCTCTATCCTCTTTAGCTTTTTTTTTGGATGGGGGGGTGAGTCAAATTTTTAAAGTGGCAAGTTTCACTTTTCAAACACTTCTAAACAGTTTTTTCTGCAAGTACATTTTCTAACAATTTCAAACTTTAGGGAAGAATGAAAGCAAGTTATCAGAACTTACTAGGAGTACTTTCTTCTTTCCTAAGAACCTGTAATGCCTTTATTTGCTGAGATACTGTTCTAATCCATTGAGTCAGATTTGGTTGATCTGAAAAATTTAACCTGCTAGAAAAGATTATAAAGAGCATTTAGTATTTTATTGTTGTTACTTAGTTCTTAAGATATGAAAAGACACCTTAAAGATCACAGGTAGAATATTTTAAACACATCTCAGTTAAAAAAACAAACAAACAAGTCTAGGGGGCAAAGTTGCTACATTAAAAAAATCCTAGAATACATATTTGCAATAGAAATGAAAATCTATGTCAATAAAATAACATTATCTGTCAAAAATGAACTTTTTACAGGTTTAGGATTTGCTAGGATATATATATTTATCTTAAACATCACAATCACCACCACTACCACCAGTAATATTAATTGAATGCTTATTATGTGATAAGCACTGAGTAAATCATTTTACTGTAAGAAAGATGCAGTATCAATTTGACCAAAATTTAATGTGATTCTCAAAATATACTTAGAAAGAGATTTATTACTGACTCCATTTTATAGATGAAGAAACTGAGGTTTAGATCTATGTACTTAACTGAGGACATATAAAGGATAAAGCTGGCATTCAAACTCAGGTGTGTCAGACTCTAAAGCTGTTGACTCTCATGGGGTTATGAAACATTAAACCACAAAAGTAATGGGTGAAATCTAACAAAGGTGATTTTCCTGCTAATCCTTAATCTAACAATGATTGATTTCTTCCTCAATTCAAATCCAGATCTAAATCTGTACCACATTTTTAATGATTTAAAAGCATGAGCTTCCATTCAAATCCAATGGCATTTTAGTAACATTATAAAGTAGCATAAGATTAAGTAACCCACCACAGTTTAAACTATTAAAATGTGGAGAAAAAATGGATTTCACTTTGAATTGAATTCAAATAATAAAACAGGACTAAACAGATGATTCATAAAACTTAAATAAACATTTATGGACCTAGAGTAAATCCAAACCAAACCCACTGCCATCACATCAACCCCGACTCATAGTGACCCTGAAGGACAGATGAGAAAGCCCCCAGAGGGTTTCCCAGATTTTATTTTTCAGAAAGGAACAGGTCAAGAATTTAAGAGTTTCTTGTTAGATGTCATTGAGTTGTGACTCACAGTAACCTTATATAACAATTTCTTAGTATTTTAAAATCTTTATATGGAAGTAGATGGCCACATTTTTTCAATTTTAAACTGTGAAATAAAGGTCAGATTTGAGTAGATAGTATCAAATTCATACTTGAAATATGTACAGTACCAATATTAATGAAAAGCACCCTAAAAATAAGGAAAAGACAGCAATTTTTCATTTTAAACACCAGATCGTCATTTTTGGCCTGTTTCTTAATGCTATTGTTGGCTGTTGTTAAGTACCATTCAGTAGGTTCTGACTCATAGCAACTCTGTATAGGATTTCTAAGGAAGAGATGGTGGATTTGAACCGCAGGCCTTGTGTTTAGCAGTCCAGTGCTTATCCTACAGTACCACACCAGGACTACACTGTTGGCTATTGTTATTGTAAAGTGCCGACCCATAGTGACGCTGTATAGGGTTTCCAAGGAGTGTCTGGTGAGCTTGAATTGCCAACCTTGAGGTTCAAACAGACTTTGCAGTCCAGTGCATTAACCCACAGCACCACACCAGGACTCCTCAACTGTTGGCTAGTAAACTGTAAAAACTGTACTCAATGTGTTAGACTACCCGGTTAGGTAAGCTTGCACTGCCCCTGTAGTACAGTGAATTACTAAATAGTCTCTTCTAGCCATAGTCTTTATAACTCAATCCAAAGGGTTTTTCGTGATAAGATGTAGGTAAGAGAACGTGTGGAAAAATATTAATAAGTTGTAATGATTCAGTTGTGAGTGATTGTGAATAAGGCTAACTGTGATTGTAAAAACTCAGAATTCTAACATGGAGATTGGTCAATCTTGACATTCTGCTGTATATAAATTGAGCCATTTCAGAGCAGGTTTAGGGTTTTTACTACTCAACCTGGCTTTGGCTATTGAGATTCCTGCTCACTGAATCTTCTCGATCCAGGAGATAGCTGTAACATCAGAGGAGAGGCAGCAAGAGAACTAAGAGCCAGAGCATAAGACAGAGCAGCTTCTGAGCCCATGGAGCTAGTATAGCAGGTACTCAATGAGGGAGCTAAGTTTACTGAACCACAAAGCTAGAGCTGAGTGACTTCATGCTGAGGCTTATAGCAGAGTAGGCATTTATCAACAGCCCTTCCAGGGCTTTTGCCAAGTTGCCTGAGTAGCGAAAAAGATAGGCCAAGATACTGAGGGCCAGAGAGAGGCCTGTCTGTGGGCGTGGCAGAGAAGAGGCTGTCCTGACTCAAGAACTGTATCCTGAGCATTTCTGATCCTGAACTGTAACTTATTTCCTTCCCTAATAAACCCCACAGTTTTGAGTATGGTCTGTAAATTCTGTATAACTCTTGCAATTATAGAACACAGCAGAGTAGACAGTGCATTGGGTGGGATGGTTGGTACCAGAATTGGCAAGGAAGTTTGTAGGGTGGGTGGAAGCATGTCTGACTTCATCGTCATAGGAACTGGCTTTGGGCTGACATGGAGTTTGATGCTCCTCTTCCTTGGAGAAGTAAGAGGTGGTTAGACACCGACCCCCATGCCATCTATATTTACACTCCTCCTCTCCCTATTGATTCTCAGAATGTGTCTTTCAAATGACATGCTATGAGGGAGATTCCTGAGGAAGACTAAGTATAGATAAGTATTTAAGATAGGGTCCTCAGAAATAAAGAAGATACTTAGTTTTCTTGAACCTATGGCAAATATATATCTTCTATCAGAGTCCTGGTGTGGCACTGTGGGTTAATGAGCTGGAGTGCAAGGTCAGTTTGAACTGCAAGGTCGGCAGTTCAAGCTCACGAGCAGCTCCTAGGAAACCCTATACAGGATCGCTATGAGTCGGAACTGACTTGATGGCACTTAATAACAACAACAACACAGGAATCCTAGTGTGGTGCTAAAGGATAAGCATTGGACTGCTAACTGCTTGGTGAACATTAAACCCACCAGCTACCCCTTGGGAGAAAGAAGATGCTTTCTGCTCCCATTCAAGATTCAGAGGTATGGAAACCCTATACAGGGTCGCAAGGAGTTGGAGTGAGTTTCTTTTGGAGTTGGAAAAAGTATTTATGGATGACTAAAAAACTATTACATAAGGTTGCTATAACTCAAACCCAGTTGACATGGGATGACACCTAAGAAGACACTGTTAAGTTCTTGGCCTGGTTCCTTTCTAAAAACCAAAATCATATTCCAAAGGGTGCTTGAAGAAATTACTAAATGAAAGTTAAGAAAGAATTTAGAAAACATCATGCAATTTTTCCTGATTTATTTCATTATCTCCAAAATAAATTATTGCTTTTTAATGAAGCTTTTATGAATCAAAACTTACCTATTAAAAATATTTCTTGGAGGAAGCAGCAGAGGAATAACAGTATTACTCAAGCATTCACAAAGGGGACAAAGGAATTCTCCATTCTCTACATCATAGCTTGTATGTAAACGTAATCTCTGTTGTCTTCGCTGTTCTTTAGCTTGAACGGAATCAAAATACCTTTACAATTAGAGAACATGAGGTATCAAAAACACTGGTAATTTTTTTTCAACGAGAACCACAGTCTTCAACACTCTAAATAGTTGTTTCTAAAAACAGACAAAAATGAAAATTCAAAGGAATTGGGATTATTTTTCCTGTCACTTTGATTTTTGAGTTGTTTTCAATCATTAAAATGGGTTCTACTTCTAAAACAGGAAAATAATTAAAAACAAACAAACAAACAAAAAAACCACTTCCTTGCAAGTAAGTGTTCACAACACACCAAGAGGAATTTCTCTGTTCCAGTGCTGTTTGCTCTGTAGCTAAAATTGGTACCTACTTACTTTGGAAAGCTCAGATAATTGGAATACAGTGCTAGGATAATAGTTTGTTTTATTAATACTTAATAATTATACTCAATACTTAATAATTAATGGTCAATTAATAGCCAATAATAATAATAATAACTTATTGGGTTTACAAAAGCATAGAAAGCACCAAGGCAGGATGAGTGCAGGCAGTCATGACAACCTTGGAATATGACGAGCAATTCCGATTCAGACCTGACGAAAAACAACGCAACTCTAGTAGTGCATGCTGTTGTGGTGGTTAAGTGCTCTGTATTAGGGTTTCGGGCTTTTTAGATCTTTCATGGGAACAAGGCCTAAACTTTTTCCCTGGGAGCAGCTGGTGAGCTCGAACTGATGACCTTGTGGTTTGCAGTCCAATGCTTAAACCATAGAGCCACCAAGCTCCTTACATGGTATACCTCACTGAAAAATCCTTTCCTTCATCCACTTTGTTAGCAGATCTTCTTTTCTTTTAGAAGAATAAAGGAGAGATTTTGATATAAGATTACATAAACATAACTGAGCTACTCTGACATTTCTAAGTTACTCCTTTATATCTCTGACAAAGCTATATATATTAGGCGAGGATGTGGAGGTTTTTTTTTTTTTTAAACATCTTTAGCTCTTTCTCCCTTTCTTTAGAACAAAACTTCTTTTACTTAAAAGCTCAATTTTGAGTCTTTGCATAAGTACATCTCAACTAATATTAACAACATAAATTACCTTTGCCAACAATGGGCATGCATAATGTGCCCACAGCTACCAGTGTGTGTTCCACAAGACAGATCAGGGTGCATGAATAATGGATCATATTTTTCTGCATTATAAAACAAAACCAAACCAAATAAAAAAAAAAACATTTAATTTTTCTGTAATTTCCTAGAGTTAAATAATACTTATAGCTCTGACCCCTCAACAATGATTAAAGACTGACTGCCTTACTCCCTTAGCGACTGGAAAAGGGCCCTCGGCTGCCATCCCCCCCCACCCCCCAAGGGAAAATGCCTGGTTGTAAGTCACACTTCTTTCCAAGGATAGCCCACAACCAGTCATGGATCTCTACCCTACCTTAGGACCACTGTGAAGGGCTGAAACCTCTTTGAAACTACACTGTAGCTCAGTTTTTCCCTTCACCCAAATCTGCTTCCTTCTTCTCTTGTCCATAGGTCTTAATCTCAAGACTTTCCCTAGTAAATGTCCTGCATGGTAATGCCTGCCTTAAGAATGTGCTTTCTGGGGAATCCTGTTGGTGATGGTATCACAATTCTCAATCACAACCTGGATCAAGGATTGCTTTTAACAAAGGAACTGGTACCATTTTTCTCAAGGGCTTCTATCCTGATGCTATCATTTCCATAAATAAAAGTTTATTGCTACTTCAGTGTATCAAAAAAATAAGCAGAACTTCACCAGTGTGTTAAAGAATGAAAATGATTGATAAGTACTAAAATTAATGCTATATCACAAAAGTTTTTCTTTGAGTTCCTGCTATTTACCAATTGTGTGATTCAAGCATAATACTTAATCTTCCTGAGTTGTTTCCATATCTGCAAAGTGAAGGAATTATGTAAGATACAATTCCTATCTAAGAAACCAATAAGCCTATGGCATTACTAACACATTAATAAAATCTTTGGATTTTCACAAAGTACACTAAGTAGTAATCATTATTAATAGGGAAGACAAGGATCTAGCTACGACTTACCTGGATCCTGAATGAATTTACTTCTGTTTTTTGACATTACAGTTGATCTCTGAACAAATGCTGCCAAGACCATTGCCCTACTTTCCACTTTAACTTCTTGTTCTTCTTGACACAATATACAGGTAACAAATTGCCTTTGTTCAGAGACCTGTGTTTGGGCTGGGCCCAATGCTGTAAGTATCATATCTGAAACCATAGGACTGCAATAAAAATAAAGAATGAGTCTAAGCAGTTCTATATTTATAATCTCTCAGTTTATAAAAAACATTGTCATAATAAACAGTAGATCCCAGGTAAGTGCATACTTAACACAGAGCCCTGGAGTGGTGTTATAGGATAAACACTGGACTGGTAACCATAAGATAGGAGTTCAAACCCACCCACTGCTCCTCAGAAACCCTATGTAGGGGTGCTATGAGTCAGCACTGACTTGATGGCACACAGCAACAATACACATGATTTTAATGACTTGAGTTTTCCAAAGTTTCATTTGTATCAAAACCATCCCCTTTAATCCTCATAGCAATCTAATATGAAATATAGGAGCCAAATACTCTATTAAGTGACCCTTGTTAACTGCTTCTTTCATGCATTTAAGGGTCTTCTGTATAAGATACAAGTTTAAGAATACATAGCAATCACCTTGCTTATAGTTAGAGATAAGCTCATAACTAATAAACTCAGATTTCTAAGATAGATTCAAGTGGAGGTCATAAAACTTACCTTAATTTAGTTGATACTCTACTAAATTTCTTTAGGATTAAAAATATATTTAACAATGTTGTTGTTGTTAAGTGCCATCGAGTAGGTTCCGACCCATAGCGACCCCGTGTAGGGTTTCTGAGGAGTGACTGGTGAGCTTGAACCGCTGGCCTTCTGGTTCAAATGACTTTGCAGTCTGGCACATTAACCCACAGCACCATACCAGGACTCCATACTTAACAATAACCACCCACCATATAGCTCCTAATTGAAAAACTAAAAAATTATTTGGCAGAAGCCATGTCACCAAAGGGCAGAACGGCAGAGGACCCTAAGCATGAAGGGCTCATTGTTAAGCAAGGCCACAATGAGTGTCCCCTTGGAAGGCAAGGCCCCGAGGAGGAATCTCATGTGGGGACTCTGAAGTTTCTGTCTCTTTGTTTTAATCAGCTTATTTTTAGTTTTCTTGATTTTATAATAAAATTTTTCAGTAGAATCTTAGTAGGAATTATATTAGAGATTTGATACTTATTTTTTAGGCACCATTACACCACATGCAATCATGTGTAACTGTTTTCTTTCACACTAACAATAAGTTTCACCATTAGGAAAAACCAGCTAAAGTTTTGTCAGTTCAAGTTTAAGATTACATTTCAACATTCTGTGTAGTTTCGGTCAGGGACATTAAGACCTCTAGAAAATAAGCTAAGATGCAATGAAGGGCTGAGGGAACAGTAATAGATCATAGGTAGAAATTTAACTAGATGTTTTGTATAGAGAAGTTGTAAGTATAAGGAAGTTGTTCTGTTTCTTCTTAACTACAAAACTTTAAGTGCTTTTTTATGCTCTTGTTTTTCTTGTTTAATCAATCATGAGAAACAACTGTGTTTTCAGTTACCATAGAAAATAATGTTTAGGTACATGTTGTGATTAATGAATCTATAGAAAATAATAGGTGAAGGTAGAAATAGGAGTTAAGATTTAGAATGATGTTTTAAGGTTAACTAGACATTTTAGGATGTCAGAAAGATTAAGGTATTTTAACAAGATCATTTGCGTAATGCTTCAAAGAAATTGATTGTGTATGAGATCACTGTACACTATGAGATTTTAACGGTATATAAGGAGCTGAAAAAATTAAGTAAAAAAAAAAACTTCAATCAGAATTCAGCACAAACCATCGACTCCGTGTGATTTCTTTCGCCAACTCCACATCTCCCTTCGTGAGCCCCCTAATACGTTTGTCGGGGCTAGTCCTCGACAATTATTCTTAAATCTTACCTGTTATCAAAAACAGCAGAGGTCGACGCATCCAGTTCTAATGTCTGCTGAAAAAGTTCTCGGTTCTCATCAATAAAATGCCTCTGCATCTCAGACATTTGGGCCATGATCTTTTCTCTGCGCAGCCTGGCAATCTCAGCTTTTCTCTTTCTCTCAGCTTTGTCTTTGTCTCTTGAACTCTGAAATTATGTTCCAGTCCATTATACCATTAGATGCACATTTTTTTCAAAACAGAAATGTCATAAATGCACATTAATTAAAAACTATTGAGCAATCTCATGTACATAAAGACTTCTTTAATCAACCTAATACGTTAAAAAAGAAAGCAGACCAAAAAAGTTGCTACAGCAAATAAACAAATAGTGGCATGTTTCTTGACATGTAAATACTTGTGAATGTCAGCTTTTATATAATGCAAATAAATTAGTTTACAATGAACTTGCTACAATTTTTCAATATGATCACACGTTACTTTCTATACCTCTTCCATTATAGTGCCTTCTGTCTCTGCCACAGGACTGGTAGACGAACTCTCCCTTATCTTCTTAATAGTATTAAAAGTCTGGGGGGCAAGGGTGTAGTGAAAAAAAAAAAAGAAATCAGTTGTCCCAAAACTATAAAATATTATCAAAATGTACAAATAAATATCTAATATTTCTCACTAAAAGGCAGAACAAAGCAGGGCATTTTACCTTCAAAATCCACCTAATCATGTCTTTGTGAACTTGTAGGTAGGGAGCATTTTGTAGTGTTTCCAGCATAGCTAGTATGCTAGGAGAGTTGTTTGGTGCTTCACCAGGTCCTAAGGAGGAAATATAAAAGGCACAATAACAACAGTTAACACTTTATAGTGTTTAGTACTATGCACAAGAAGATTCATATAGCTGCTTATTATTTTATTGGCCATCATTTGATTATAACTCTAATTATTAGAGTTTTTCAACACTTCTCAAGAATGCAAAATATATCTGTACTTTACAAGCAAGTTGTTAACAACTAGAATGCTTTAAGCATTCAAGACTCACTTCTCATAACAAAAGACTACTTTAATATAGCCTCTGGCAAAACCAAACAAAACACCAGAGAGCAAGGTGGTGCTCAAATACTAACCGGGTGGGTGGTGGTGTACCATGGAGTCAATTCTGACTCATAGCGACCCTGTATAGGGTTTTCGAGGCTGTAAATCTTTATGGGAACACAAAGCCTCATCTTTCTCCCGCAGAACAGCTGGTAATTTTGAAATGCTGACCTTGAGATAAGCAGCCCGACTTGTACCCACTACACGAACAGAGCTCCTTATACTAATGGGGACGGGTCTTCAAAAGGACATAGATGGACCCCTCCACTGGCCTAAGTTGGCACAGTTTGAGCAGCAAAAAGAATAATGATTATACCAACAGTATTGATTATATTGCTAATAAAAATCCATGAGGTATTAAAGCAACAACAGCAAAACCCAGAACCCTAAACAAAGATCCACAGTTGTCACCATTTAAGTTAACTGTTAGTAAACCTCCTTATTCTGAAAATAAAAGAAGAGCTTTCCTTTAGAGGACAATGCTAACAAACAGAGATTGTTGTTGTTAGTTGTCATGAAATAGCCCCCAACTCATGGTGACACTGTGAACAAAAGAATAAAATGCGGCTCGGTCCTGTGCCTCCCATGATTGGTTGCAGATCACACTTCTGTGATTCACAGGGTTTTTATTGGTTGAATTTTTAAAGTAGATCTCCAGGCCTTTCTTTTTAGTCCATCTTAGTCTAGAAGCTCTTCTGAAATATTTCAGCATCTTAGCAACTTGCAAGCCTCCAGTGATATGGCTGCTTGTGAGATGAATTGGCCAGAAAGGAATGAGATAGTTAAAAAAAATCACTACTTTTCAATCCTCAGTCAATGAACTGAGTGAGTCAGACAGGGATCATGAATGGATGATAGATAACTTGACAAAGGCAAAAAGTTGCTGGGGAATAATATATTCTTGCAATGCCAAAGTGTCATCTCACAGACTAACTGCTAACTGTAACAGATCTGTGGTGAGATCTAGCAGTCACCACTAAACTGAACAATCACACTTGGAATCACTAACAGTGAGACATTCTGACATTATGTGTCTTTTAATGTAATACAGTATGAAGGATTCAGCATTGCCTCTGAAGTATTCTTCCCCAAAACATTGAACTGAGTTTAATCAATCACAAGACTAATTTTCTAGATTCTTGGTGTGGTGCTTTAAGATAAGCACTAGACTACTGACAGCACGGTTAGCAGTTCAAACTTACCAGCTGCTTCTTGGAAACCCTATACAGTGTTCTTATGAGTTGGAACTGACTTGACAGCACTCAACAACAACTGACTAACTTTCCAGTGTATAGGAAACAGGAAGGATAAAAGAGTAAGTTAATAATACCACAAGGAAACAATACGCAAAGTTTATATGCAAACGAACCTGGAGCTTTAAAAAAAAATTACATCTTCAATAAAATTAAATTAGATAGACTATGGAGATGAAAAGATACAGAAATAAAAGCAATACATTTTTCTTACCCGGATCTAACCATAGTGGTTAGATCCTGGTAAGGGTTAAGGAAAAAAGAAGGTAATAAAGATATTTTGGAGACAACTGGGAAAATGAGAATGTGGCTGGATATGAAATGATATTTGTGAATTACTAATTTTTTTAGGTGTGATGATAGTAAAGGTAGTTCCTGACTTATGATGCAGTTTAGTTCCAAAGATCTCATCATCAGTTGGTTTTGATGTGAGTTGAGTATCTCATTTCACATGAACAACTGATGCTTCTAATGGTATGAAATGTTGGGTAAGATCGTGCTACAGGTCTTGTATGCGGTGAAGTCGGCATCAGTATTGTAATAATGAAGTTGGAGTTGTACCAGTTGTCAGATGTATGCACAGTTTGTTATTTTATGTTGTTAGAGGTAAACGTTGCCCAATTTTCTATTTGTGAGATGACACCTGACATCGACTGCATTGTAGACCAAGTGTTTGAACAGTGTGTCATAAAACCGAGTATCTACAAGTGAACATCTTAGAATGATAACATCAGCAAATTATGTGCTACAACATTGTATATTGTACATATTACTAAAAAATAGTTCAAAAGAAAAGCCAGATGGTTTTGTTGTTTGTTGTAACTCAAATATGTTGTACTGTGGAATGTTGAAGATTGTCTTTTTTAGGTGATAAATGCTAAAGAATCAGAGGTGAAATATGATGTAGGGTAAGCACTGGACTGCTAACCACAAGGTTGGTGACTCAAACCCACCAGCTGTTCTTGGATACTCTGTACAGGGTCACTATGATTCAGAACTGACTCAACAGCACTTAACAACAACCAGTGGTGTAAAAAGTATATAAGTATAAACACAAAAAGAGCAAAACACTATTTTAAAATGTATGTGTGATGTCCATTTCAAACTATGAACTTCTCATTACTGTGGATGTTTATGAATTAAATGTATGTATTTTAAAATATGAATAGGCCTTAAATATTTTTATAAAACTCTATCAGCATCTGATACAGTATAGTTTTAATAAAGATATGTATGTCTAGTCTCAAATATTTGGATTTAATAGAGCTCATTTAGAATCTATTTTCTAATAAAGAGGTTGCATTACATATTTAAAGCACTTGTTTCCTAACCTAACTTAGTAAAAAGTGCATACGTACTTGATATCTTCTGAGTGAAGGTAAATGTTACCACATGCTCTTCTGTGACATTCTCTAAATGTTGTTTTTCTTCTTGTAATGCCATTCCAATTAAATGCAATACCTCAAATAAATACATTTTATAACTTTTAGTAAAAGAGTATCAACTACATATTTTATAGAAAACAAAAAGGAAATTATTTACTCTAGACAAAAGAGAAATAAGACTGTTAAAGATCAATTACAACAACACATAAAGCTACCAACTTTAAAATACTAAATTTTGTTGTCTAATAAAGAAAACAAAAAAGCTCTAATTTGTTGAGAAAGAAAATCCAATTGCAAATTCTTGGGATAAGCTAAAATGACCAATAAACAGATGCAGTCATTAATATATTACCTAATTTTCATTTTATTCCATATCAATGGCCAAATAATTAAGAGCTGAAAGCATCTGTCACACAATAATCAAGTCTATGATATTACTTACTAAAGACAAAATCTTAATTTAGTCCAGCTAAATAAGACATTTATCTCTACATCAATACAGTTTATAAGGCTGCTTAAAGTTCTTCAGTATGTCTCACAAAAAATTCCTTATAAGATGTTTAAATATTTATAACTATTTTGAATCTTGGTGTGGCACTGTAGGATAAGCACTTGACCACAAGATCAATTTGAACTGCAAGCTTGTCAGTTCAAAACCACCAGTCACTCCTCAGAAACCCTATACAGAGTCAATATGAGTCAGAACTGACTTGATGGTATTTAACAACAACAGCATGTTGAATGAACCTGGTGCTGGTGGCACTGTGGGTTATTGTTATTAAGCGCCGTCAAGTTGGTTCCAACTCATAGTGACCTGTGTACAATTTCCGAGGAGCGACTGATGGATTTGGACTGCTGACCTTGTGGTTCACAGTCTAGTGCTGATCCTACAGCACTACCAGGAATCTAATTGCTAGCTCAGTGGGTCAAACACACCAGATGCTCTGTAGGAAAACAAAGAGGCTGTTTACTTCAGTAAGATTTACAGTCTTGACAATCCTATATAGGGTCACCATAAGTCGGAACTGACTCAGTGGTAGAGGGTTTGGTATTGGTTTATGCTAAATCTACTCACTCTTATTTTCTTTCGTATCTAACATTTCAGTTTTTGAAGGATATATGTGTGTGGAGTCTGTATTATCCTCCATATTATGCTATTCTGGTTGTCAGATAACTAGGGAGAGCTAAGGTAGTCTGAATAACAAAGCAAATTAAACGTAGAATAAACACTGTTAATCCTTTACACCTCATCATTTCCCACAAATTTTCCACGAACATATTGATAATTCTTTAACACATCATAGTTTCATGCTCTTAAATTTTAAATGTTTAAAATAGAAGGGGATATAAGTATACACATACCATAGCCAATGAGATAGGGGAGTCTGCTTATTAAATGGAAAGAATGGTACATTTGGAGGAAGTCTGGTCTGAGTTTGAATCCTGGCTTCACTGCTTTCAAGCTATGTACCCTGGGGGAACCCCTGTGAGCCTATTTCATCATCTTTAAAATAGAAAAACATCTTCTCTCTAGAAATATCAGAGTACTGCATATACAAAAAGATCAGGACCAGTTACTGAGCAGTGAAAGACTGGCCAGTGGGACTGAGGTAATCACAACAATGTGACATTAAAAAAATGGCCAGGCATTCATTTTCACTGCAAGGCACAAAAGCAGTAACTATATATTATACAAATTAAGGTAATACTATCCATTTGGGTCCCAACTTTCCTTTGCACAGATACTGAGAAGAGTATTTTGGCTTTTACTACAAAAACAGTAAAATATGAACAAATGTCTTCCAACTTACCCTTTGCAGCATGGACTCTGACCAGGCATATCCATTATGTTCAACAGCCCACTGCAGTATTGTTCCCATGATACACAACATGACATCTGATTGCAAAATGTTGACCAAACTTGCAAACAAAGGGCAGAATGGAGGCAAAACTGGAGGTGGAAGTGCTGAAAATAAAACTATTATTGGTTTCATCTGTAGATTACGCTTTAAAAAAAAAAAAACCACTATACTTTTCATGAGCAAACATCTTGGAGATATTCTTTACCTTCTCAAGGTCAGTCAAATGCATAGAAATGGCTATGTAAGAAGTACAAAGGAAAGCCTTTTTTCCGCAGAAATGTCTTACGATGTAAAATAACACCATTATCCCAGAGGTGATTCAGTGCAGCCATGTTTATACTAACATATGTAGTACTCCTTTGACCAGGAAAACACTTACTTAGAAAGCCTGTTTCAATCTTTCTTTTCACCAAGGACATTCATGGTTAACAGTCTCACCACCCTTATACCTTATTACAAAATAAGCAAAACAGATTGAAATTTTCAAAAGAAAAGAAAAATACCTGTATCTTCCCTATTTTGTCTTTTCAATTTCCGTTGAGCTTCCTCTGCCTAATAATAAAGAAAGTAATCTGAACTAAGAATTATTAATATAAAAAACTTAATATCCTTAACTAGTGATAGATGTCAATCTTTGCTATATTATATCCTGACTTTAGACAATTTTTATACTTAACGTTACATACAGTTCCCCCAAATTTAGACATTAGCCTTAATTATTTTCCCCACTAAAAGAAGCCACAAATGGGTTATCTGTTACATTAAGATGCATGGGAGACATGTACTACAAACCCAAGCTAAAAATCTATTTAAGTCTGAGATCTTTGTTGTTAAGTGTCATTGAGCTGGTTCCGACTCACAGTAATCCTGTATAAGGTTTCTGAAGAGCAGCTGGTGGATTTGATCTGCCAACCTTATGATTCACAGTTCACTGCTGATCCTATAGCACCACCAGGAACATCAAATACTAGACAAAAGTCTCCTGATTCAGTTTTGTTATAGTAGCACTTATTTAACAAGTGTTTTAAGAGAAGACTGTTAAAAGACAAAATTTAATTGCCTAAGAATGATCATTGTTGTTAAGTGCCATCAGGTCAGTTTTAACTCAATGCTACTCTGTAATAAGAAGAGCAGCTGGTGGGTTCGAACAGCAAACCTTGCAGTTAGCAGTCCAATGCTTATCTCACAGTGTCACACCAGGACTCCTAAGAATGATTGTTGTTGTTAAGTGCCATCGAGTCATAGCGACCCTGGATAGGGTTTCCAAGGAGCAGCTGGTGAGCTTGAACCGCCAACCTTGCAGTTCAAATGGCTTTGCAGTCTGGCGCATTAACTCACAGTGCCATACCAGGACTCCTAAGAATGACTGTTGTTATGTGCCATGGAGTCGGTTCCGACTCATAGCAACCCTGTACAGGGTTTCCGAGGCTATAAATCTTTACGGGAGCAGAAAGCCTCATCTTTCTCCCGTGGAACAGCTGGTAGTTTCAAACTGCTGACCTTGAGGTTCGCAGCCCAATTTGTAACCACTACGCTACCAGAGCTCCTCATCTCTATGGAATAGTGAAGGTTAAACATCATTAATTCTGCACTATGTGTAAAATTATTTTAACTAGTTATAATACAGATTTACTACCAGTTTTCAAAAGCCCATAAAATAATACAATTATATATGTGTGGGTCTCAAGCAAAAAGACCTGATAATCAGCTCTTATAAACATGACAGCCTAGGAAACCCTATGGGGCAGTTTTACTGTTTTGTAGGGTTGCCATGAGTCAGAATACACCGATGGCACAAACAACAATATAGGTCTTATATGTTATTGTTGTTGCTATTAAGTGCCGTCAAGTTGGTTCCAACCCATAGCGACCCTGTATAGGGTTTTGCAGGAGTGGCTGGTGAGTTTGAACTGCTGACCTTATGGTTCAAAACGACTTTGCAGTCCAGTGCATTAACCCATAGTGCTACACCAGGACTTCTATATATAAGTACACACAAAACACATCTAGGGGGTGGTATACTTTTTTCATCTGTGTAAAAATAGAAAATGTTTATCTTTACAGCAATATATTTTATAAGGATAGTTGTAGTTCTTCATTATGTCTCACAAAAAATTCCTTATAAGATGTTTAAATATTCACTCTTTTTACTTCTTCAGAGTCATGCACTGTAACTTACCGAAGCTCTTCCCTATTGATGTTTGCTTCTATGTTTTCTCTATTCTAAACAGGAAGTATTGGACATTCTTGCACATGTATCACATATTTTGTTTTATGAAAAAGTTGTTTAGAAAAAAAGGAATTTGATCCTTCCCCAGTATACTTTTACTTTTTCCAATTACCTTAGACTGATCTGCCCTTGAAAAGTGATAGAAATACAAGTTGAACTCTTGGGCATACTCTGGTTTCAGTTCGTACATGCCTCGTCCTGTTAATCCAGGTTTCCTATGAAAGAAAGTACCTTCAAATGTTATTATTAAAGTCACACAGTAATTCATTAGATATTAGAATAAGAAAGCAGAGTTCTCACATACTGCTAGAGAGTATAAACTGGTATAGCTTCCATGGGTTAATTGTTGTTGTGAAGTGCTGTCGAGTCAATTCCGACCCATAGCGACCCTGTAGAGGGTTTCCGAGGAGCAACTGGGTTAACTGGGCAATCTAAATCCCAAACATTCTGTACATTTACTTTATCTAGCAAGTTTACTACGAATTTATCGTAGCTGGACAAGTTACTGAATGGTCACTGTAGTAGCAACAATTTCAAAGTCTTTACAATAGGGAATTACAACATCTCCAAACAAACACTATTCAAAGTGAATATAAAATAATATTCTCTATATTTTGATACGAAAATTCGATCACATGAAAAAAACCAGGTGATATTTTAGAAAATTACTTTCACAATATTGAGGTCTAGAGAACTTTCCTAGGCAAGGTTTGTAAAAGACAGAAAGATTTACGTTCCATAGAAATTAAAGAACACGAAATGATACCATAAACAAAGTTTAACCTCAAGTAATAGAATGAGAGAAAATACTTGTTATGTATTTAATATCATAAAAAGTAAGTTTTTTAATATATAAAAATGCCTATGGAATAATAGGATGTGTTGTTGTGGATTAATGCAGTAGACGGCAAAGTTGATTTGAGCCGCAAGGCTGGAGGTTTAAGCTCACCAGCCACGCCTTGGAAACCTATACAGGGTTGCTATGGGTTGGAACTGACTTGATGGTGCTTAACAGCAACAATGGAATAATAAGATGAAGGCAATCATAAAGAAAAATGTACAAAGAATTATGAATAAATACATGAAATAAATATATAAAAACATGAGAAAAAGCTCAATCTCACTGGTAGTTACAGCAATGCAATCTTAAATAACAAGGTAACATTTCCCCATTTATGTGCTATGTAGAAATTAAGAAATCTATACATATCAAGTGTCAGTCAAAGCTCCAGGGCTGGCCCTATCATACATTGCTAGTGTAAACTGATGACTTTTTTTTGGCTGATAATTCAAAGGTATTAATATGTATTGAATGTAACAAATAGGTGCCTTCCATTTGATCTAGCAAATCCTCAAAGATACTTTCATATACCATATACTAAAATATGTGATACACGTGCAAGGATGTCCAATACTTCCTTGTTTATAATAGAGAAAACATAGATGCAAATCTCAATAGGAAAGAGCTTCAGTAAGTTACAGTGCATGACTACGAAGAAGTAAAAAAAGAGTGAAGCAAAACTATATGTACTGAGACAAGGCATATTAGATTGAAAAAAAAAAGACACACATACATAGAAAAAAATGCACCAAAATAAAGTTAAATTTTAAGAGAAGACTATGGAACAGTAAATATAAAATGACCAAATTCTTATCAAAGCATATGTTTTTCTAGCCTCTTACACACACAGACATTAAGTGTTATACACACAAACAAGTTGAGAAAGATAGACATCTATAAGTAATTAAAATGAACTGTAAGTAAGTTGGATAATAAACGGTACTTTTTTCTTTTCACTTTTCTGTAAAAGTTAAGTATTATCTTCCTAATTACATTACCATTGGGATGGAGTGGTGAGCAAGAAAAAAAGATTAAGCAATTGCCCTACAACCTTAAAGGGATAAATTAGTTTACTGACTGCAACAATGGACACCAGAGAAGACAGAATTTAGAGGCCATTCCACAACTTAAGTGGTACATTCATTTGCAAACAAAGGAAGAATTGCACTGACTTAGATGACCTGATGAGTGAAACCATCTGCTACCAAAACCCTAATAAATGCAATGGAAACCCTCAAAAAGCTACTTTTAAGTTACTGTTTGCAGGCTTAGATTGCAGGGGTGAAATGTCAGTAAGAAAGCTAGTTTGGAGATATATAATTTCATGCTAAATTCAAACATGAATAAGAAAAATGAATGTACAAAAATGTGAAATCATAGGAAGTAAACTCACCTGAAATGGGCAACTGCTTCAATTACACTCTCCATGCCAGTTTCTTTGTTCTCCTAAAGATATAAGAAACATGCTTCATGTTAATAATGGAATCCTGATATGGTGCTGTAAGATAAGTACTGGATTACTAACCACAGGTCAGCAGTTCAAACCCAACACCTGCTCCTCGCAAAACCTCTACTGTTGAGTGCCATCAAATCTATATAGGGCTTCTAAGGAGAAGCTGGTAGGTTTGAACCACTAACCTTGCAGTTAGCAGTCTGGTGCTCAGCCTACAGTGCTGTATCAGGACTCCTATATAGGGTCAGAGTCACAAGTGACTCGACAGCACTCAACAACAACAGCTATGTAAATAACTCTGAGCATTGTTTTTATCTTATTGACCTTTGCAAAAAACTATGAAATAAGTATATTACTAACCCTATTTTTATAGATAAGGATCCCATACTAAACATCATCATAATTAAGCAAATCACTAACACACAGAATCAAGGTAAGTGTCAAAAATAATTTAAAATAGCATTTCCCAAATCATATTCCATTTATGACAAGATGTAAACAGGAATTTTTGAATTCCTGTTTCAATAAAAAATTTTCTGTTTCAAAAGTGCTTGAGAAATATGGTTTAGTAAAGTTAAATTTGTTCTTATACTCTAAGATGTCTCAAAACATTAATTTGCTAATACATATTCCTCATTTATTAACTGTCTTGTTATCCTGACATTTACTTAGCATTACAGATGCAAAAAATTTGCTATCTAACAATTCTGCACATAACAATGTCCACCTGGCAGTAATGGACATTGACGTGTGAGGCAAGAGTAATGCTGGCTGTGATGGTTAAGGTTCTGTGTTAACCCGCCTGGGCCATGAATTTCAGTGGTTTGGCAGTTATGTGATGATTTAATTATTTTCCATCTTTTGGAATATGTGGTCATCTTCTATTTTCCCACAATACTGATTTTTGCACAATGACCAAGTCAAAAAATGAAGAGTGGGTATTTAAAGCATGATTTTTCCAAAAGGTAATACACCATAAAGTACAAGTTAAAAATCTTTTACACCACTTAAGTTTTCCCACAGGATACCCATTTTATATTTGTGGATTCTACAAGACACAAATTAGGTGACTATACTATCATGTTGTATAAGACACAGAACATTAAAAAAACACCATTGCAAATCTTATTCCTAAAAATAGAAAAACAGTTGTTACTGAATTAAGTATGCCCCACGTGACCCCTGTGTGTGTTTAAGTGTGCCCTCCAGGGTTTTCAGTGGCTGACTTTTTAGAAGTAGATCAGCAGGGCTTTTTTCTGAGACTCTGGGTAGGTTCAAACTGGCAACATTTGGGTGGGCAGCTGAGCATGCTAGCTGTTTACAGCACTAAGGGTCTCCCCTTATCCTAAAATCTAGGTAAGATTATAATTGCTTCCTCATCTAAGAATTCAGAATTCATTTCTTGCATTTAAACAACAACAACAAAAAAAGCCACTTTTTCTGAGTAGTTATTTGGTGACACTCATAAGGTTTTCAGTGACTAAATATTCGGAAGCAGTCCATCTCTCCTTCTTCCTAGTCTGTCTTCATCTGGAAGCTCAGCTGAAACCTATGCACTCTGGGTGACCCTGATGGTATTTAAAATACCCATGGCATAGCTTCCACAATCACAGCAACACACAAGCCACCACAGTAGGACACTGAATAGATATTTGGTGCTATAAATCTGCTGCACAAGAAAGACCTCTTTAAACTGTTGAAGAGCAAAGATGTCAGTTTGAGGACTAAGGTGTCCCTGACCCAAGACATGGTACTTTCAATAACTTAGTATGCATGTGAAAGCTAGACGACAGTACACAAGGAAGACCAGAGAAGAATGGATACATTTGAGTTATGGTGTTGGAGGAGAATATTGGAAGTGCTGTGGACTGCCAAAAGAACCAACAGATCTGTGTTAGAAGAAGTACAGCCAGAGTGCTCCTTGGAAGCCAGGATGGCCAGACTAGTCACTGGAGAAAGATATTGTTTGGTAAAGTGGAGGATTTGAGAAAAAGAGGAAGACCCCCAATGAGATGGATTGGCACAGTAGAACAATGGGCTCAGGTGGAGCAACAATTGTGAGGTTGGCCTAGAACTGGGAAGTGTTTCATTCTGTTGTGCGTAGGGTTGCTATGAGTCAGAACCCACTGGATGGCACCTAACAACAACAGCAATTTGGTGATACTAAGAAACGATTAAGTATTGTTAATATTTTAGGTGTAATAATGGCATATGGATTTAAAAAAAAAAATCTTTATTAAAATATTTTTGGTTGGGACACTGAGCACTACTGATATTTTGGAGCACACAATCGCTTGTTGTGGGGGGGTATTCTGTGCACTGCAAGATGTTCAGCATCTTTTGTGGCTTCTCCCCACTAGATGCTTCCCATGAGTGGTGACAATCAAAAATGTCAGTAAACGTTGCCAGATTTACCCCTGGGAGGGTAGTGGGAGGGGGCACATAATTGTTCCCAGTTAAGAACCACTGGTTTGAATACAGATAGTTCTCTTTATACATGGAATATAGACAAATCTGGTATTCTCTACACAGTAATCCAGCAGCGGTATAGAGGTTAGGGGTAGGGATATCGATGAAATAAAACTGGCCTCTGCTGAGGCTGATGATTGAGTACATGGAGTCTGTTATACTGTATTTGCTTTATTATGAAAATTTTCATTAATAAAATTTCTTTTTAAAAGTATGTGTATTATTATTCAATAAATATAAGACAGATTGAAATCCCAGAAGAAATATTAATGTTGAGTTTTGGTAAGTGTATCAAATTTGGGAAAACATTATTTTGAAAAGGCTCAATGCAGAGATGGCTGAGGAACTTAAAACACTGAGAAGAAAGCTAGTGCAATTCAACCTATATAACACCCTTGTAAAAAGTATTTTACATTCATTAAGATGGAACAGATGACTCACTACTGAGGGTCAATGAAGACTCAAAAGGAAAACACTCCCAGAAACTGAGTAGGTTAGTTTCTCACTCCTATCCCTCACCATATTAAGTTATAAAGTGCTCTCTCTACTGGTGGTAATTTCACACCAAGGCCTTAAAACAACCCATCTCAGATACAGAAATGCAGTTCTAAGACCTGGGTATACTCTCCCAGCCCCGTTCCTAGCATCCTTATCTTTGTCAAGGCTTCATTGTGAAAGATTCTGTCTGTACTTTGCTTTACACAGATTAGGCTGATGGGTATGAAAAGATTCTTATAATGTTCTTTTTAAGAATATGGGTACTTACATCTTCAGGTAAAGACTTTACCAGTTCACTATGAGCCATTGGTTTGATGCTCAACTGATGGATAATCTCCCGCTTAATTTCATCTGTAGCATTTACCTGCCCAACTCCAAGAGTAAATCTCTCTCCTGTCAATACACAAAAAGTACACATACATATTAACATTCATTACTATAATACTTGTGTGACATTACACTTATAGTTAATGTAACATTTTATTAATATCCTTCTGTGCAATGGGGAAGCAACGACTGGTCTGCCAAAAAGCTATGGAGACAGCAGCTTTAATCTTACTTCTGAGTCTCAGACACAACAGGTAAAGAATGTAGGCTTTAGACAGTAGAAAGAATTCTGGTTGCTGCTTTAAAATCAGAGGTTGGGAAGAGATGAGATGTAGTGAAGAACTGGTATGGCAGAAGCTGGGAAACTGGTTTCATTCCATCTGCCACAGGGTAGAGGGAGAGAGAACTTTCCTTTCCTCTTTTAGCTAGTGGCAAATTAGATATCACTTTCTGAGACTTCCCACAGTAATATCACTTCCTGAGATAGTCAGACTTCTCTGCTCTATGGACTACACTGTTGTTGGAAAGTGCCATCGAGTCACTTCTGACTCACACAGAGAGACTTTATGGGGTTTCTAAGAAGCAGCTGATGGGTTTGAACTGTTGATCTTGTGTTAGCAGTCCAGTGTTTATTTTATAGGGCTATACCAGGACTCTCTATAGACTGTTGTTGTTGTTGTTGTTGTTAAGTGCCGTCGAGTCGGTTCCGACCCATAGCGACCCTGTACAGGGTTTCCGGGGGTTTAAATCCTTTCGGGAGTAGAAAGCCTCATCTTTCTCCCGCGGAGCGGCTGGTAGTTTCGAACCGCTGACCTTAAGGTTCGCAGCCCGATTCGTAACCACTACGCTACCAGAGCTCTATAGACTGTAGTGGGTCTGAAATAGTAATAGTAAGGGAGGTGGGATAAAGTAAGAGATGAAAGACTGGGAAAAACAGATGGAAATATAGACAAGAAAAGAAAGCTATAACTATCAGCCATGTTGCTGGATGCTATCAAGTCACTTCTGCCTCATGGTGATCTCATTTAACAGAGCCCCACTGACTGCCGCACTCAGTTTTCTCGGTTGTAATCTTTATGGAGGCAAATCTGCAGGGCTTCCTCCTGCGGAGCCACTGGGTGGGTCCCAACTGCCAACCCTTCAACTCCTAGCCAAGTGCTTAATCATTGTGCTGCCAGGGCTCTTTCCTAGTGGCAATTATAAGAGAATTATTAAATAGGAATTATTATATATACCTAAAGTCACAAATAACAAGCTATGGTGATATAGTGCTTAGAGTGCTGCTAATAGAAAGCTTGGCAGTTTAAACCCACTAGGGAGTCTATAGGAGAACCACCAATCCTGCAGTTAGAAGTCCAGTGCTTATCCTACATTACCCATTACTGTCACAAAATCCTTTTTTTGGTATCTCAAAACCATGCAGTAAAGCATAGCTAAGATATAAATTAACAGTGAACAGCTCATAACATACCTATTCCCTGCCTGATAATTTTTCTTGTCCCCAATTCCCCCCCAACTTAGAAACTGAGCATCAGCTTGAACAGAAGAAACAGTTGGAAATTCTGAATAATTTGCTATCAGAAATCCAACATAACTTATAAACATCTCAAAACAATCCAAACTTACCAATAAGCATTATAATTAGATATAGCATCTCTTCTATTAGAGTGTTGTTCTGCTGTACAACATCCTGTAATACGTGGGGCGGGGGGGAAAGAGAGGAGAGAAATAAAGTTTAGACATAAGAATATGCAAACTGTATCTCAGATAATGAACTTAAAAAGTGAAAGGTGATTCTTTAGTGGTGTGTTTGTCTCCTAAGAAATGCTCTTACCTTATGGGTAATCTCCGAACTAAATCTTTTTCCATATTCTGGAGTACTAAAAATCTGATAAAGTTCAAAGCGGCTAAGCATTATCATCAGGAAATGGTTTGGATCCATCATAGAGACACCTGTCTTTTTTTTTTTTAAAAACATTTGAGATAAAGGAAAAGAGGAAAGGCAAAAGGGTTATTACATAATAAGTATTTTGTGTTGTGCAACAGAAAGTTGTATTTATTTGCAATCCCAATAAAAGATGGAAACACAATTAGTCAAAAGCCTTACTGTTTTAGTTGACAAGCGTAGGCAGGAACCTAAGCAAATAAAACAAAACTATAACCTAAATTCACAAATCTGGTTAGCATGGACTAAAAATGCTCTTTTCCCTTAACGCTTTAAAATATTTGAACCCCTATGAATTCAGAACCTAAGCTCTACTTTACGGCTCTCTGATCACTCTGTCTGGTGTACACATGCTGAAAGAAATGTAATATGCCAGTTAACCTAGCATTCGTTTTATATTTAGTATATTCAACTTTTAACAAGAACTCTCAATCTTTTTTCAAAAAAAAAAAACTAATACTTTATTCTTTTCGGTGAAAGTTTACAAAGTAAGTTAGGTTTCAATTTGACAACTTCTATACAAATTGTTCAGCAAAATTATTACCCATTCCTACAATATGCCAATATTCTCTTTAATTGTATTCTAGTTGTTCTGTTCTAATACACTCGTTTCTACACTCAACCTTACCTTAGAGCTATTTGTTGACACTTTGGTCTTACACACATGGTTTTGTAATAAGAATATCATATTCATAATACCCTTTATTTTGTGTGCCAATTTGTTATTTTGCTATAAAAAGGACCTCAGGGGATAGTTTCACCAAGATTTAGAGTATCTCAGGTAGTACTCTAGTCTCAAATTGGTTTAGTAATACTGGTCTAAGAATTTTAGTTCTGTCCAATGTTTTTCTCCAACTCTATCTGGATCCATCTACTGTGGACATTAGAGGTAGCTGGACACCATCTGGTTCTTCTGGTCTTAACGGCAGAACCTGTTTTGTTTTTATTAAAAAAATAACAAACTTATTGTGAATTGAGTGAAGGTTTACAGAGCAGAATATCAGTTTTATAGTCAACAAATCCTATACTTTGCTTCATTGCACGGTTGCAATCCCCTCCAAGTACCAACAGTTAACAGCATTTACCTCTATTCACTTTACTTTTGCATTCCTGTCTCCCGCTACCATCATCTTTCCTCTGCTAACCTTCTCTTGTTCTGTATTGCCTGCCCTACCACCCATGTTAACATTTGTCTATGCTCTAGCCCATGAATAATTTCTCCTACCTCCAGGCCCATAACCATCATAGACTGTTTCTTTTATCAAGAAAATCTTGTTTTAAACTTTTTACATCACTGGTCCCATATAATGTTTGTCCTTTTGTGACTGACTAATTTATGTTTGTCCTTTTGTGACTGACTAATTTCAGTCAGCATAATGTCCTTCACGTTCTACCATGTTGTGAGGTGTTTCAGAGATCTACCATTATTCTTCAACATTTTGTAGTATTGTTTGTTTGTACCGAAGTCTGTTTAACCACTCTTCTGTTGATGGGCATTTAAGCTGTCTCCATCTTTTTGATGTCTCTTGTAGACAGCATATTGAAGGATCCTGTTTTCTTATCCATTCTGATCTTTATGTCTCTTGATTGGTACATTTAATCTATTTACATTCAGTGGACTATCAATAGGTCTGAATTAATTGTTTCTGTATGCTTTTTTTATGATGCTGCTGGGTTCTTTGGTTCCACATAATTTTCTATGTAGTTTCTTGTCATTTTCATTTCTGTTGTGTTTGCGTTTACTAAATCTTTCTGATTTTCCTTTTTTTTTTTACTTTGTATTACTTTCCTTCGAGGTTACCCTGTCACTTATTTTTAACCACTTACCATAGTCTGTTCCATCTTGAAATGTACCTGACTTCCTCAACATTTGGTAGCTCTATACATTCCCTCTTTTTGCTTTGTAGTTGACTTCACTATACATTGGTATCTCAATTTTCAGTCTTGTAGGTTTGTCTTAAATACTTCCATATCTGGATTGGCTTCTGGTGGTGGTGTCATGCACAGGTTCTCAGTCCAAAGAACACCCGTCAGCATTTTTTCAAAGTTGGCCTGGTCATTACAAAGTCCTTTAATTTCTGTTTATCAGGAAATGTCCTGATTTTGCTGTTATATTTGTGGGGAAGCTTTGCTAGGTATACGATTCCTAGTTTCAGTTTTTTGTATATGGCATCCCATTGTCTTCTTGCCTGCATGGTTTCTGCTGAGAAATCAGAGCTTAATCTTATTGGATTTTCTTTGTAAGTAACTTTTCGCTTTTCTGGAACTGCTCTCAGGATTCTTTTTCCTTGTCTTTGGTTTTGGAAAGTTTGATTCTATATTGGAAAGTTTGATTATGATATGTCTTAGTAATTTTCTTTTGGAATCTATCCTGTTTGGGGTTTGTTCAGCTTCTTATATGCTTATCTTCTTGTCTTTCATGATTTTAGGGACGTTTTCTTTCAATGACTCTTCAACAATTTTCTTGTCTCTTCCTGTTCTGGAACTCTGTTCACCCATAAGTTGTTCCTCTTCATGGTGTCCTGCATAACTCATAGGTTTTTTTCATTCTTTTCTCTGAGTTTTCTAGCATACTAGTATTGAGAGTTTTTCTTTAAGCTTACTAATTCAGGCTTCCATTGCTTCACATCTACTCGTTTGTCCTTTTAAAGTATTGTCCATTTTTGAGATCTCAGTATTAATCTTCTGGGTTTTTAATCGCATGTTTTGTATTGTTTCAAAGTTTGCTATTGTCTGTTTGTCCTTATAGAGTTTTCCTCAGTGTTTCCCTGAATTACTCTGAAGTTTTATTATTTTCTCCTTACTTTCCTCGATCTTTCTACTGATCCTTTTGAAGGTACCCAATTATCATTCTTTTGCATTTTTTTCCAGGTAGTTACATTACTTTTTCTTTCTCAGAAATGTCTTCTGGCTCTGCATCTTGATCATTTGTTTGAGCCATTCTCTCATTTCTGTGTGTGAGCTACAACTGTCTGTTGTCTCGGGGGCATTGGGAAAGGTCATATTTGTAAAAACAAACAGTGCAGTTATTAGACCCAGCGGGGAGAACTCTCTGGTGAGCTCCTGTAATTCAAGGAGCTCACAAGGTGGTTGTGGAATGAATGTGACAGCAGAGTTCCTGGCCCAATACAAGTTACTACTGGCCTCGGTGTATGTCCTACAGGCCTCAGTGTTACCTATGTTCAGGGCACTCAATCCAAAGTAGTTCATGGGTGCCCTTGATGAGCTGGTTTCAGTGTCTATTAGAACCACAGGGAAGCTGGGGGCAGGGTGACTGGTTAAATGCTGGTCTGGTGGCTCTGTGTGTTTTGTAGGTCTGGAGTTGAGCCCACCTAAATTCAGGCACCAAAGGGCACACCAAAGCACTGCAGCCGATCCCCACCTCATGCTGACGTGGCACCCAACCATGCAGCTCCCAACTCCTAAAAAGCAGAGTCTGCATTGGAAGTGGGAGCTGGCCATACTTCTGATCACCAGAGCATTGTGGGGAAAAAGAAGAAACCACAACTTTTCAGTCACCCGCCTGAATCTTCTATGCCAGGCCTCTATCTGCCGGCAAAGCTGCTCACAAGATGGTGGAGCTGCGCCTGGCCAGGTGTTCACCAGTCGGTCTCCCTCTCTCACCATCCCTGCTCAGCCTCTCCTCCCAGCACTCTATCTACCTCTGTAACTTCTCTTTTGAAATTAATGGTGTTAGAATTCTTATTTGCGTCTATTTTATTTTGTATCTTGTATCTTTGTTGTAGAGAGTCTTTGTAGTGTATCTGCCTAGTTTGCCATCTTGCAGGAAGTCTTTGTCAACCTATTTTTTTTGCAATAAGTGCCATATTAACAGAAGTGACAGTTTTCTTAAGTTACATTATTTTCCACTGTATAAATTATAAATTAACTCAGATTTGAATTTATTTTTGATCTATAATTATATTTGAAATTTATATTTAAAATTTTTAATTCTAAAATTATGAAGTCCATTCAGCAATAACATAACTACTATGTGACAAGCACTGTGCTAGGCACAAAGTAAAAAACAAAACAAAACAAGCTACAGTTGGCTTGTTTTTATTGGGGGTAAGGGGGGAGTGTGCAGTCAAATCAGTTCTGAGTCATAGAGACCCTGTATAAGGTTTCCAAGGCAGTAAATCTGTATGGGAACAGAAGGCCTCATCTTTCTCCCACAGAGTAGCTTGTAAACTGGAACTGCTGATCTTGTGGTTGGCAGCTCAACACGTAACAATTACACTACCAGGGTTCATTTAGTCAGGAAGACAAAACAAGAAAGGGAACAAGCAATAATTATGTAGATTTATAAACGCTATAACAAGGACACGGACCAAGGGTCTTCAAGCTTTGGTGGGCCAAGGAATACTCAGAGAAAGGTTTGCAGGAAAAGAAGTTAGCTAAGATAAGGTAAAGGAAGAGGCAGGAAATAATCTTGGGAGCAATAAAACAAAGGGCAGAGTTCAAGACTTAAGAGCTAGCCCAGGAAACTCCGGGAATTTTAACATAGTTAAAGTACTGGTGTCATATGACTAGGAAATGCAGACTATCATAGGACTAGGAGCAGTTTAAGGAGTTTGAGTTTTAACCAAAAGACAATAAAGAAAGAATAACTTTCCCACTTCTGACTTAACAACTGTATACATTGTGAAACAATTCACCAAATTAGGTGTGGTTCTGTAAATTATTTCATATGGTCCTTCTAATCATATTAACCTCTCAATCAAAGGAACATTTAGAATTAGCGCCTTAATCACATGTACTGACATAACATTTTATAGAAGCAAATGTTAGACTGGGGAGTGTGGTGGCTCTGTACAATAAGCACTCAGTGTTACCTATGTTCAGAGCACTCAATCTGGAAGTAGTTCATGGGTGCCCTTGATAAAGCTGGTTTCAGTGTCTGTTAGAACCACAGGGAAACTGGGGGCAGGGTGAATCACAAACTCAACGGTTTGAGTCCACCAGCTGCTCTGTAGGAGAAAAATAAGGCTTTCTGCTTCTACAAACGTTTATAGCCTCAGAAACCCTAAACAGGGTTGCTGAGTTTGAACTAGGAGTCTTGTCACACCTTACAAAATCATTGGGTGGGATTATGAAAATATGGTGTTGTGGCCAACCAAGGGTTTGGACAGCTTGTTAACAATGCAAATAAAGTTCATGGCATCCTTGTGGAGGTGGGACAATGCAAATAAAGTGTATAACCCTAATGAGGGCATTGATTAGTTTTTTATCCGCTAGGCTTAAAAGAGTCATTTCACAAGAAAGAAGATCTGAAGTATAGCATATACTTTGAACCTGGGATGACTGAGCTGGAGAACTCAGGAGACAGAGAATTACAACACCAGCTACAGCACAAGATGGTGAGAAGCCGAGCACATGTGGCAGAGAACAAGCAGCAGCAAAACCAGAAGACTGACAAGACAGAGTGCAGTGGACTTCCCCGCCTTTGTAGTAAAAAAGCTGAGTACCCTCAGGCACGAGACTTGAGGTGTCTTTGGACACTTGGTGGAGTGAAAAGAGCTGATGCTTTCAGGCAAGAGCTTCCCAGTGGAATGAGCACTTATACTGGTGGAGCTAAAGCTTTGTTAACACTTGCCCAAGTAGGGCACAGGCTGGGCTGGCACAGAGGACAGAGGTCTAAGAGATCAAGGGTCAGGAAGAGACCTGTGGACACAGCTAAGTAGATGTCCTGACTGAGTCTTTCCTAATCCTCAAACGTAACCTGTTACTTCTCTAATCTATGACATAATTGTGAGAATAGTCTGTGAATTCTGTGTGGCACTTGCAGTGAATTATCGAACTGAGCAAAGAATGTTGTGGGAGGAATGTCTGGTGTCAGAACTGGTAAAAAGGTTGGAGAGGAGGCATATTTGACTTCTGCTTCACAGGAATTAGCTTTTGATGCTTATACTATTGTCTTGATCAGGCATCCCCCATCCCGCTATTTGTATAGTAAGGAACATAAGACAGGGAATAGGGAGAAGGTATGAAAAAAATAAGAGCTGTTTTGAACTTGTTAAATCTGAGATGTGTCCAGAAATTCTTGATGGAAAAGGCTGTTAACACTTTGAGTTAGTAGTTAAGTAGAGGGCTGGGATGGAGTTATGTATCTGGAAACTATCATTAAGTAACTGGGTTCTGTGAAAATAACAAGAAGTAAAAGACCCCTCACACACAACCTTTAAATATAATGCTTTTAGTTCATTACCTGAAGCATTACTATATCCTTGTCAAACATCTCCCGTCTGCATTTCACATTATGGTAATAAAAAATCTAAAAAAACAAACAACAAAAACCCCAAAACATTATAATGAGTAAACAGGATTTATGTGCGTAATCCTCTCCTTTCCCCACACCTCCAAAGAGCACATGGGTTTGTGTGAGACACATATGTGCCTACATACACACCCCATGGTTTTCCTAATAGTTAACACTATCATGGTGGTAGTAGTGGTTATGTGCCGCAGAGTCAGTTTCGACTTATAGTGACACTGTATAGGGTTTCTGAGGCTGTGAATCTTTACAAGAACAGAAAGCCTCATCTTTTTCCTAAGGAGCAGAGAATAGATTCGAACTACTGACCTTGTGGTTAGTAGCACAACTCGTAACCCATTATGCTATCAGAGTTCTTAACACTATCTTGTTGTTTTGTTGTTACGTGCTGATGAGTTGCTTCCAACTCATAGCGACTTAGTATAGGGTTTCCGAGGAGTGACTAATGAGTTTGAACCGCTGACTTTGTGGCTCAAACCGACCTTGCAGTCCTGCGCTTATCCTATAGTGCCAATTTTATCTTGTTGTTCTTGTCAAGTGCCGTCGAGCTGGTTCCGCCCCATAGCGACCCTGTTTAGGGTTTCCGAGGAGTGGCTGGTGAGCTTGAACTGCCGACCTTGCGGTTCAAACCGACTTTGCAGTCCAGTGCCTTAGCTCATAGCGCCACACTATCTTAGTAGAGATGAATTAATTGGAAATAAATTAATTCCACATTACAGTGGTTACTCTATAGACTTCAAATTTTGCAGTCAACTTTCTGAGTCTACCAACAAAGTAATAAAAGGTTGCTTTAGTAAGGTTTATAACTACCAAAAAAGAAAAAAAAAATCTATACCAAGTCTTGTTTAAAAGTTAAAATCTCAACTTCAGAGATTCACTAATAGTATTTAGAATGTTTAACCCAATTTAATTTAAACAAGTAAAATTTTAATTTTTATTATCATTGCTTTTTAGATAGCCAACTTTGTTCTAAAACATGATTTCATGTAAAAAAAAAAAAAAATCACTGGCATTCATTTGTCCTTTTAATATTGATTCTTGGCAAATTATACATAAAGTTCAAAAAAACCTTTTTAGATATACTTTTTCAACTAACTTGAATATAGATATTCAACTTTCAATGACTAACTAGTACATTGAAAATTACAGCCATCATTAACCAAAACACCAAAACTGCTGTCACTGAGTTAATGCCGACTCATAGTGACCTTATGTAAGGCTTCCAAGATCGTAAATCTTTACAGAAGCAGGCAGCCTCATCTTTCTCCTGAGCGCTGACTCTAAAGACAGCACCTAACTAAAATATAGAATGAAAAATCTCCATACATTTACAAATCACTTACCTGATTTACTAGAGAGAACCCATTTCTTCTCCACATTCCAGCATGTACTTGGGCACATAAAACAAGACATCTAAGAGGATGTTCTATCAACATGGGTGGGCTAAGTTCACCCTGTATTTATGTTAAAAAACAAAAATCACAAACATATTAACGGTTATATAAAAGACTGACTGATGGGTGTGGCGATGAAAGGGGCTATATTTAAAACAAGTTAAAATTATTTTATGAATTTTTTGTTTTAAAGTGATTTCAATAAACAGGTATTTACTTTTGCATTTCAGTACCACTTACTAGAGGTAGAAGCTCTGGAAATTTATATGCCACTTCACTTTTACTTAATAAAACATGCAAACCTGCATGGAAAAACAAATAATTTCGATAAGTAAATATCATTTAAACAAGAAAAATGTAAATATTCACTCATCTTTATACCTAACTTATTTTCTAGCTCTTTGAGAATCTGTCAGGTTATAAATTAAGATGTAAAATGAGCTGTTTCCATATAAAAAAGCTTTTCAATTGTAATTCTTGTGAACCTCTACATCAAAGACACACTTTAAAGTAAGAGCTTTAATAACATTTACGGACACACAATGAGGACATTTTATAGAAGCAAATGTTAGCCTCAGAAACCCTAAACACAGTCACTACTCCATGGCACTTAAGAACTGCAACAAATGTTAAACATACCAATTGTCAAAGCAATTGATATGTCATGCCAACTTAGCCATATTTCACCAGGTCATCACCTCTTTAGTTCCCCACTGCTCTTCTATGGCTGAACCTAAGTTCATTCTGATTGTATTCTACTTGGGTAGTGGGTGGCTCCATATAAGAAGCACTGGACTTTGAACCACTGAATTTTGAAACCAGGCAGCCACTCCATGGGAGAAAGATGAGGCTTTTCTGCTCCTGCGAAGATTTAAAGCCTCGGAAAAGTCGGAATCAACTCGACGGCACTTAACGATAACGTTCTATTTATATTGCTTTCTAATCAGAGAATGCTCTTTATAATCTTGCCAATCTATGTTGGTCACTTTCATCAAGCCTGGTTTGAGGGTTTCCTCCTCCAAGAAGACTTGCATTACTAATCCCATCCTGGTTTTCAATATTTACTACTCAAGCTCCACTATCACACACCCCATGCTGTTCTTGAACTGGATGGGATTGGCAGACTGGCTTATGAATCAACTACTTGATTAAAAAATATCACTCCAATTTAGGGCTCGCTCCTGATTTGTTGCTTAAAGATTATCAACAAAAGTGAAAAAGAGGGAAAAGTTTTAATTCATTAGCAATTGCTTAAATGATAGACTGGGCTGAACTGTAACCACAACAACTTTGAAGGTGTGTTAACATTAAAACATGAGATATCTGTAGTTAAGAAATACAAATAAGCAGTTAACAGTGTGATGGTTATGTCTTCAGCTGCTAAACTATTCAAGTCTGTGTCTCAGTCTTCCCATCTGCACAGTCAGCTTATAGTAACATCTACCTCAGAAGGCACTTAACACCATAGGTCAGTGTAATGATTTAATGTAATACATGTAAAGCTCTCAGAAAAATGCCTGGTACATAGTAGGTGCTCAATACATAGTAACAACTAACAACAATTTAAAAAGTAATTTCAGGGTTCTTCCTCATTTTGGGAGAGGTTTTACCTGCAAGTAAGCGAGAAACTGGGAGGTGAATGCTAACTTTTTCTTGGGAAACACAGTATCTGATCGTTTCCACTGAATGTCCACAAATGCTGAGTGTGATCGGCTGTTCACCATCAGTAAAACCACTGTGACACTGCATCAATACAGTGAGGCATTTCTTGTAAGCTTCAATTAGTACTTTTTCCTAAAAAAAGAGGATTTCCATTAACTTACTCAAAAACAAAGGTTTCTATAACATTGAATAAACTTATTTGACATATAAAATAAGGTTCTGAAATCTTCTAAACTTGAAGGCTTTTAAAAACATATCACTCCACAGCAGAGAAGACTTTAAGAACTGTTTAACCCTTAGGGAACT